GCTGAATCAGCTGGATGTCTTGAATCTAGATCATATTTTTCAATGTTTTTGGACCCGGCCCGGTGGTTGGCCCGTTTTGGCCACCGGGTCCGGTTGAACCGGTTGAATCGGTTCACCCGACTGGTTCAACCGGTCAACTAAAAAACCTCTTTTTTTTTTTTACATATTTACAATGCTGCTCTGTTCGGTGCTTCTACGCTCTGTTCGGTGAAGGAGAAGCTGTTGCTGGGAAGGAGAGGAAGGCAAGGAAGATGAGCTGCCAAAACGATGGTGGTGAGAGCAGGGAGATCGGTCTGTCTGCTGTTCGGTGGAGGAAGGCAAGGGGTTGGAGAGGGCTGTTGACGGTGGTGGTTGAGAGCAGATGCAGAATTGCAGATCTGTTTTGTAGCTGTTGCTCTGTTCAATGAAGAAGAAGCTGCTGCTGGGAAGGAGAGGAAGGCAACGAAGATGAGCTGCCAACATGATGGTGGTGAGAGCAAGGAGATCGATCTGTTTCTTCTTTCAAACACGGTGCTGGTGACTGGTGAGGGCAGGGAGAGCAGTTCGTGTTCTACAGTGTTTTGGGCTGCCAAGTTTTTTTTTTTACCTTCTGGGGTTTTTTTTTTTTTTTTTAATCTAATCTTAATTGAAGTTTAATGGTTTTTAATGTAATAATATGAAAAAGTTGGGATAAAATGGTATATTGCCTTGAAAATGGGAAAAAGTTGAGTTAAATGAAGAGATGTGGTGCAGCTCGGCGGGTTCAACGGGCGGAACGGGCTGAGCGGGTGAGGCGGGCTGGACGGGTTGGAGCGGGCCAAATGTGAAAACGGGCTGCAGGATGTAACCGGCCCGTTTTCAAGTCCGGGTCCGGTCGAACCGGTTGAATCGACCGGGCCGGGCCGGGTCCAAAAACAATGATATTTTTCTCTATTCTATGGCCCATGAGAAAAGCTATGTTGAAGTTTCTTTCTTGCTCCCCACTTTTGGGTTTTTTTTATATTATTTTTTAATATAAATATATATGTAGTCAACTTGGAGTTGCATTCATCAAAAAGGAAAAATAACAAAGATTAACTACAATAATGAAAGTAGTAGCTTTTAATCAATGTCACGTTAACTTAAATCAATTTCAATCTATAAAACAAAGGATTCTTGAATTAGTGGTTAGAAGATAATCCTGTCGTCTTCGCTCAACCTACCCCTCTTCTTGTGAAGAGCTCCCTGTTGCTGGTAATATTTTGGTTAAAACCCCAATTTGGTCATTGAATTATTATACGGACTTTCGATTTGTTTCTTGAACTAAGAAAAACCTTGATTTAATCATTGAACTATTGTACGGACCTTCGATTTGATTTTTACTATTTATTAATTTAATCACAAGTTAATCATTCCGTACAAAAAACAATTGATGTATCCGTTATTTAACAATAAAAAAACAATAACTTAACGGTCATAAATCACGTTAATAACAAGACACATTAGCTATTTTTTGTCTGAAAATACTAATTTAAAGTAAATTGATAAATATTAGGAATCAAATCAAAGATCTATATAATAGTTCATGGGACCAAATCGAAGATTTCACCTAATATTTAATGACGTGGAAATTTTATTCTCTCACCCTTCACTTAGAATTTGAAAATGGTTCCCGTGAGCAGTGACTATACCAACAGCTGATGACTTAGATAAGTCACAAATTTGCTTAATTGAGAGAGGC